AGACCCGCCCAGGCAACTTGGCGAGACCTCATCTCTACAATAAATCAAAAATTAGCCAGGCGTGGTAAGGCGCGCCTGTAGTTCCAGCTACTTGGAAGGCTGAGGTGGAAGTATCACCAGAACCCAACAGTTCGAGCCTGTGGTGGCCGGGAGCGGCCACTACATTCCAGTGTAGGCGACAGAGTGAGACTCCAACTCAAAAAAATAAAAAAAAAAGAGGGTAAGTTCACGTCGCCCATAACATTTCCTTGGAAGAAGCCTATACTCATCCAGGAGCAGGATAACCAGGGAGGAATCACTTGAGCCCTGGGTGCCCCCAAATGAAGACAGGATTCCTGCTCTGCTCTGCCACCTACCAACTCGAATGCCTTGGGCAAGCTGCACAGCCCACTGGAAGTCACAGTTTCCTCATGGGAAAAATCTAGATGATGAATACTGGAGTCACTTTGAGAAGGTCTGCAAAGGGCCAGGCCTGAAAAGCCTGAAACATATTTACAGACGTGCATGTTACCTTTGAGCTGGGGCACAAAGTCTTCCTTTCCCGCGTAAGGGTCGCAGCGGAAGCGGTCCAGACGGTCGATGGTGCACTGGCCCACGACGGGCTTCCGCCCAAACTGCCTGTGGTCGATGACCTTGATCACCAGCGGAGGCATGTACAGCTCCTCCTTGGGCAAGAACTGTGGGTCACAAAAATAGCTGTCATTTCTCTTGACAAGACCCGACACGGCAGCTTTGCTAAACATAGCCAAACACACAATTCCCCAAGGGACCAACCCAGATTCTTTTTTTTTTTTTTTTGAGTCGGAGTCTCACTCTGTTGCCCAGGCTGGAGGGCAGTGACACGCTCATGGTCACTGCAACCTCGACCTGCTGGGCTCAGGTGATCCTTCTGCCTCAGCCTTCCAAGCAGCTGGAACTACAGGTGCGCGCTACCACGCCTGGTAAATTTTTAAAAAACTTATTGTAGAGATGAGGTCTAGCCAAGTTGCCCAGGCTGGTCTCGAACCCCTGAGCTCAGACAATCTTTTCACCTCAGCCTCCTAAAGTGCTGGAATTATAGGCTTGAGCCACCGCACCCAGCCTTAGATTCTTTTTTTTTTTTGTCAGTGTTTCATATTTTATTTTCTTCCTTCAATCATAATAATATGATACCAAGGTTGGGTGTGGTGGCTCACGCCTGTAGTCCCAGCACTTTGGAAGACCGAGGTGAGAGCATTGCCTGAGCGCAGGGGCTTGAGACCAGCCTGGGGCAACATGGCACAATCTCATCTCTAATAATAGCAATAATAATAATAATATATCCAAATTTTGTCATAACCAGTGGGCCTGTAAACACAGGTTTATCCATCCACTTACGGGCAAAGCAGATACTGTATCCTGAAGTGGTCCCACTATGGACCCTCTGGTCATCCAACCCAGGTCACCCCTTTGCCTGACTTTATTGTCACTCTACCGTGTAGCCTCGTCATTGAATCTCATTCCAGACTTTCCCTTTTCCACGGCTCCCATGATTTGGCCGTGCTTTTCACAAAGAATGTGTCTGACCTCTCCTGCGTCACCACCACCCTTGGGACCCTGAGTCTTCTTGTCGACACCACTGCTCCCAGAGGCCATTGCCCCTTGTCCAGAGTCATTTTTCCCTTGCGGCGGCATCTTTGGAACTTGTCTTTGAACTCTTCTCAGCTCAGATGCCTTCAGTCATGCAGCCCAAGGGACTCACAACACATTCTTTGGTGACCTATGTGCTGGGCAAGTAGCTTGGTGCTTTAGAGCGCCAGCTCTCAGCCAGAAGGCCTGGGGTCAAGTCCTGGCACTGCCACCATGTCCTGCATGATTTTAGGGGACTCTCCTAACCCCTCCATGCCCAGTCATCGCCTCACCGGTAATAGCAGGGTTGTTGAATGACTCTATGTGAAGTGCTTACAACGTGCCTAACTTGTGATAAGTGTCTTGCAAGTGTGAAATCAGCATTCTTTCCCACACCACTGCCCCTCCCTGCATTCTGCTTTCTGGGGAAGCGGCAGTGGGGTGGGGTGGGGGGTGTGGTCTGCAGACTCACAAGCCCAGAACTTGGGGCATCTAAGCCAAGTCCTGGGCAGAGCTTAGAAATGGTCAAGGCAGGCCGGGCTCGGTGGCTCAGCCTGTCATCCTAGCATTTTGGAAGGCCAAAGCGAGTGGATTGCCTGAGCCCATGGGTTCGAGACCAGCCCAGGCAACTTGGTGAGATCTCGTCTCTACAATAAATTTTTAAAAAATTAGCCAAGTGCGATAGCGCGCACCTGTAGTCCCGGCTACTTGGAAGACTGAGCCCAGCAGATCGACACTGGGGTTGTTGTGAGCATGCCACTGCACCTCAGCCTGGGCGACAGAGTGAGACTCCAACCCATAAAAAAAAAAAAGAAAAGGTCAAGATAAAGCTGAACCTCCAAGGGAAATAATTGTGGCCGGGGACTCTTTTAGTTCAGTGCCAGAATGAGATGTTGATTTTTCCTGGACTCCTGGTTCCTCCTCCTTTGGTGACATTACCTGATTGGGGAATCACAGGCTGACCCAGGGGCCTGCTGGGTGTATGGTGCAGGTGAATTTCTGTCTCTGGCCTTACACAGGAATAGAGGCTGGGGTCAACTGAGTGGCTTTCCTCGCCTCTGCTGACCAAGGCTGGAGTCCAGACTAGAACTTAGGAGGTGGGGGAGGCATGGAGTGGACAAAGATGAGGCTTAGATGCAACCACTGAGGAGTCTGGCCAGGTGCATCCAGTAGGCTCCTTGCGTGGGATGATGGAGAGAGTATGGACTTTGGAAATGGAGAGTCTGACGTCCCAACTCCAGCTACCAACTTGTGCCAAGCTCTCTTGAGTAAATCAGTTAACCTCTTGGTTTCCCAAGAGTGGGTGTAAGAGGAGAGAAAATGCTCTCCCTGCAGGATCAGAGTGAAGATGAGGCGTGCAGGGCATGACTGCACCCAGCACCAAGCTACGGCTGTCGTGGCCATCAGGGCAGCCACTGTGGCATAGAAGCTGTGGCCCAAGCTCACTATGAGGCTGGATAAGTCATTTCCCCTCTCCAGACCTCAATGTCCTCATCTGTGAAATGAGAGACTGGGCCAGGCACGGTGGCTCACACCTATAATCCCAGCACTTTGGGAGGCCTAGGTGAGAGGACTGCCTGAGCCCGCGGGGTCAAGACCAGCCTGGGCAACTTGGCAAGACTTCATCTCTATAATAAATCAAGAAAAAAATTAGCCGGGCGTGGTGGCTCATGCCTGTGGTTCCGGCTACTTGGAAGGCTGAGGTGGAAGGATCGCCTGAGCCCTGCAGGTCGAGGCTGCGGTGGCCGGGAGCGTGACACTGCACTCCAGCCTGGGCGATGGAGTGAGACTTCAACTCCAAAAAAAAGAAAAGAGCAAGAGAGAGACTAAAGCACTTGGCCTTGAAGTTCACGAGCAGTGTGTTAGAGACACCAGGGGCAGAACAATGGCGGGGGTGGGTGGGGAGAACTAGGAAGGTTCTAGACTTTCAAACCCACCAAGTTAGGGAGATGTCTTTATTTACCTCTTTGATATAGTAGAGTATAAAAGAAAGAACTGTTTATTTTAGAAAAATTAAGAAATTAACTGGTTTTAAAATGAAAAGAGGCCAGGTACAGTGGTTCACGCCTGTAAACCCAGCACTTTGAGAGGTTGAGGTGGACGGATTGCTTGAGCCTAGGAGTTTGACACCAACCTGGGCAACATAGTGAGATCTCGTCTCTACCAAAAAAAAAAAAAAGCCAGATGTGGTGGCATGTACCTGTACTCCCAGTTACTCAGGAGTCTGAGGCAGGAGGATTGCTTGAGCCTAGGAGGTTGAGGCTGCGGTAAGCCATGATTGTGCCAGTACACTCCAGCCTGGGTGACAGTGACATGGTTGACTCCAAAATAATAATAATAATAATAATAATAATAATAATAATAATAACAGAAAAGGAAAGACTGGGCAACCCCTTCTTGCTTAAGTATTCTGGAGTCTGTGAAGGAGGGCTGTGACCAGGATTCGATGCTCTCACATTTCTGATAGCCAGAGGGTGGCCTCGATGGAGCAAAGAAGGTGCCTTCCCAGATGCAGCTGGACAGCTAGAGGTGGGACACAGTTGTGGACTCTTAGGGCCATGGCCCCGTCACACCAATGGTGCCCCCGACAGCCAGTCCTTACTGGGAGGGCTTGGTCTGTGCACATCTTTAGGGGGTGCATGCTGTCCAGCATAACTGAGGTTAATATTCTGTCTCCTAGGGGTTGACATAGTTGGATAGGATGGAAAGTTTACTGGAGAAATAAATAGATATTATTCATAGATATTTCTGTGTCACTGGAGTTTTGAAGCTTCAAGACACCATTACTACAGTGTTGGAATCAAAGAAGGAAAAGTTACTGACAGGATGAATGAATTTGGGTGCGGTGACTCACGCCTGTCATCCCAGCATTTTGGGAGGCCAAAGCGGGAGAACTGCTTGAGCCCAGGAGTTTGAGACCAGCCTGGGCAACGTAGCGAGATCCTGTCTTTACAAAAAAATTTAAAAACTAAGCTGGACATGATGCTGTGTGTCTGTAGTCCCAACTACTTGGGAGGCTGAGGCAGGAGGATCACCTGAGCTCAAAAGGTTGAGGCTGTGGGGAGCTGTGATCATGCCACTGCGCTCCAGTCTGGGTGACAGAGTGACCCTCTAATCCCTCCTCAAGAGATGAATAAAGATAAGCCAAGGTGTTTCCATTTGTCAGGTTTGGGAACTGAATTTTGCACAAGTGCTGTATACCCATTCGCATTTCAACGTATGTGATTATGGCAGAGACTTGATGCCATACCACTTTCATGAAGAGGACAGAGCTTGGGAAGTTGGGCGTCTTCTTAAGGTTTTTGATCACCACGGATTCCACCCTTTCTCCTCCACACTCCACAACGAGGCTGGGGGACGCAATGGAGGCCATCTGGTAGTTTTTCATGTTTCTTAAGCCCCATGCTAGAATCTAGAAACACAATCGAAGAGAGGAGAAAGCATCCCAGTTCATGAGAACCAACACGCAAAAGGAAAAAATCCCATCTTTATAACTGGCCAAGTCTTTAATGTTACTTTGTGTGGGTTTGCCTAAAACATCTTGAACACTGTCCCAGCAAGCCCATGGGTCACACACAGAAAGCGGTTTGCCACCTTCCTTCTCCCGCCTGAGCCCCCAAGAAAGCAAAGCTGTTTGGAGTGCAGGAATCATATCCTGGCCGTGTCGTCTAGTAGCTACGTGAAAGCTGACGTGGTAGGTAACCTCTCTCTGTCTCATCTAGAAAGCCCGATCATAGAAGCTGTCACAGGGTTAATCAAGGATCAAGTATAAACCCATCCATCCATCTACACATTCACCCATCCATCCACTCATCCATCCATCCATCCATCCATCCATCCATCCATCCACCCATCCATCCATCCACCCATCCATCCATCTATCCATCCATCATCCAACCACCCATCCAGCCATCCACCCATCCATCCATCTACCCATCCATCCATTCATCCATCATCCATCTATCCATCATCCATCCATCCTTACACCCATCCACCCACTCATCCATCCATCCACCCATCCATCTACTCATCCATCCACCTACCCATCCATCCATCCATCTATCATTCAGCTACCCATAATTCATTCATCCATCTATCCATCATCCATCCATCCTTGCACCCATCCACCTGCTCATCCGTCATCCATCCATCCACCCATCCATCCACCCATCCATCCACCCATCCATCCATCCATCATCCATCCATCCACCCATCCAGCCATCCACCCATCCATCCATCTACCCATTCACCTAACTATCCACTCATCTATCCATCTATCCATCCATCATCCATCCACCCACCCATCCATCCAGCTACCCATTCACCCAACCATCCACCCATCCACTCACCCATCCATCCATCCATCCATCCATCCATCCATCATCCATCTATTTATCATCCATCCATCCTTACACCCATCCACCCACTCATCCATCCATCCACCCATCCAGCCATCCACCCATCCATCCATCTACCCATTCACCTAACCATCCACTCATCCATCCATCCATCCATCCATCCACTCATCCATCCATCTATCCATCCATCATCCATCCACCCACCCATCCATCCAGCTACCCATTCACCCAACCATCCACCCATCCACTCACCCATCCATCCATCCATCATCCATCTATTCACCATCCATCCATCCTTACACCCATCCACCCACTCATCCATCCATCCACCCATCCATCCATCCACTCATCTATCCATCCATCCATCATCCATCCAACCACCCATCCAGTCATCCACCCATCCATCCAGCTACCCATTCACCCATCCATCTACCCACCCATCCACCCACCCACCCACCCATCCATCCATCCATCATCCATCTATCCATCATCCATCCATCCTTACACCCATCCACCCCTCATCCATCCATCCACCCATCCATCCATCCATCCACCTACCCATCCATCCATCCATCTATCCATCCAGGTATCATAATTCATTCATCCATCTATCCATCATCCATCCATCCTTGCACCCATCCACCCACTCATCCATCATCCATCCATCCACCCATCCATCCACCCATCCATCTACCCATCCATCCACCCATCCATCCATCCATTCATCCATCCATCCATCCATCCATCCATCCATCCATCCATCCATCCATTCATCCATCCATCCTGACATACAAGCATCCAGAAGTGATGATTGTTGTTTAAGGCCCTCCGCCTCACGTCTGTAATCCCAGCACTTTGGGAGGTTGAAGCAGGAGGATTGCTTGAGGCCAGGAGTTCAAGACCAGCCTGGGCAACATACAAGGTCCGACAATTAAGTTCTCGAACCATCCTAGAAAAAGTGCTACATGCCTCACTGCTGAATATCACTATGGTCACCTTCGAAGTAACCCCCTTGGGAAGCTAAGCACTGACACCAGTGCCGAGTCCACCCATCAAAGCAATTTTGGAACTCTTTTTTCTGGAATGACCATCAGAGCTGTCGTCATTAGTTGTTGAGGTCTAACATCAAGTTTGCAAACCTGCCACCGTGGGCATACACTGGCAACACTGTACAAATAACTGTATTAGAACACCCTCCCTACTCACCTGATCTGGCCCCCATGACTTTTTTTTTACCCAAAGGTAAAGGAAACATTGAAGGAAGATATATAATGACATTCAGGACATCAAGGGTGATATGACAACAGCACTGATGGCCATTCCAGAAAGAGTTTCCAAACTGCTTTGACGGATGAACTAGGTGCTGGTGTTGGTGCATAGCTTCCCAAGGGGATTACTTCAAAGGTGACCTTAATGATATCCAGCAGCGAGGGATGGGGCACTTTTTCTAGGATGAGTTTGTGAACTTAATTGTCAAACCTCATAGTAAGACTCCTTCTCTACAAGAAAGAAAGAAAGAAGGAAGGAAGGAAAGCAAGCCGGGCATGGTGAGTCACACCTGTAATCCCAGCACTTTGGGAAGTGGAGGCAAGAGAATTAATTGCCTGAGCCCACAGGTTCCAGACCATCCTGGGTAATATGGCGAGACTTCATTTCTATAATACATCAAAAACTCAGCCGGGTGTGGTAGTGCATGCCTGTAATTCCAGCTACTTGGAAGGCTGAGGCGGAAGGATCGCCGGAGCCCAGCAGATCGAGGCTGC